TTGCTCCTTAATGTTAAATACTTTTCCTGATGCATCTTAATATCCATAGTGCTGTTTGCAATTGTTGCCTTTGCATGCTGCTTCACTATTCAGTTCACTTCTAATGTTTTGCTCAAATTTGAAATTGGCTAAAACTCTCTCCCATGTGCTTTACTGTGAGTTTCATTTTTTTCCTTCATGTTTTCACTCCTTCAAGCTGCTCCTTTTGTTCAGTAAGCTGGTACAATAATGTGTGCCACTTTAGATCCTAGAGATGCACTTACTGTATATCTAGAATTGCTAGTTGAACTGGGGCTATATTGTAAAATGCTTTTAAAGTGTAAGATGTTAAATTAATTTGGAAAAGAGAAGTGAAATGTTAAACATACAATATAAACATATACTGTATATCCACCTGATAATTTCCTTTTTTTAGAGAGGAGATATTGTACATGCCATGCAGTTCATGATTTTTTATGTTCATAATTTTTTCATAACATCTTCACTACACTACACATCATTACACTAAAACTTTACTTAAAAGCAATTTCAGATATTCCTGTAATTGTCTGAAAGTGATCATACCAGGGCTAGGGATCTGTAGTGCAACTGCTTTTCTCTTTAAGATTAAAAAAGTAATTCCCCCATTTCTCATGTTTCCTGTTTTTTTAAAAAAAACATCAATTTCTTTCCTGGTATTTCATGAGTAAGTTTTTGAATTAATGAGATTTTGTCATGGGTTTCGCACTTGCTTGGGTTTTAGCAATTAAGGTATTAGTTTGTGTATAACTGGATTTTGTCCTCCACAGGCATTATTGGTGATTAATAGAGTAAAACATGATAAAGTCATAATTTGATCTTGAAATTTTTCCTTATTTTGACTTCTTAAAAATATGAGCATTTGACTCTTTTGTATAAATGTAATATATCCCTTATCATTGCAGTGGAGTTTGAGTTTTTCATTGATTTCACAATTTGGGGAGGCTTTTGTTTTTGACATAGGAGTTTATGAGACAGATTTATGCAGAATATAAGCTTTTAATGTAAAAAGATACCCTTCTAATACTGTTTTAAATGTGCTTTCAAATAAAAATGTTGATATACATGCTCATGCCTCTCGACTAAATTCAGTACCCAGCTCTATTTCTGCCGTCTAAAATAGTTTTCTGGAATCTGTGTACAGTAAATTGCTTGCAAGTAAAAGCACTTCTTATTATAATCAATCAGTTATACCTTACTGAAACTTACTGAAACGTATTGGTAGCAATTTGTTTCAAGTAACATGCAGACTGTGTGCTAGTTCGTTCTTAGTGACATACTGGCACTTCAATTATTGTCAACCCCTGTATAAACAAAAAAGAGCCAAGGTAGCTTCTTAGTACCTGTTGTGACTGAGAAATAACCCAGGCGTGCCATACATATTTAACTAACTAAATATACTAAATAATTAATGTGTTATGTATTTATTAGTTGTGTACTACCACACAGCAACTTGAGTGCTAATAATAAAGTACTAATATACAGTATAGCTTGCAAGGTACCCCTAAAATAGTGCTACCTTTCTATATCCTGTTGAATTATTAAAGAATTGTCAATAGCTCTGTTGGCAAATCCTTTCATTTGTGACACTTACATCCACAAATGTTTTAATTCTGTTTAATACATTTACATTTTTTTTCTGTTGATACTGTATCCACAGTGTGTTAGAAATTGCAGGTTGTGGGTAAAATGCTTTTTCTTTAGTGGTATGACCGTTCACGGCTTTTGTAGTTTGTGGTCATGCAAGACTTTCTTTTCACCTGGTCTTTAAGACTTTTGTTTTTTGTATTTCTGGTTCTAGAGTATAATACAGTATCCTCTAATTTCTTTCTGTATAGTATGATTTTCTGAATATTTACTGTAGATAATCCATTTTACTAAAAAGTATTGGATTGCTTAAATTATTAAGAGAATGCATTTATTTGGGTTAACAGATCTTCCATTATATTTACTTTGATTAGATTTATGACAGCCATATTAATAAATAATATGACTTTCTTTTTTCTTCATTTAAGGTAGTTATTAAGGTATGTTTTGTTTATCCATTTCTCACATTTTCAGTGACCTATATATCATCCCATGCAATTGCTTCAAAAAAGATCACTGCCAAAATGTAGCTAGATTAGATTAATCTGATGTTGAAGTAACCAATTATATTAAGTATCTGCCATTGCTGTTGCTTTCACCGTGACCTACATATTAGAGGGAACGCAAGAATTTGCTTGACAGCTCCATCTACTGCCAAGATGCAGCGAGTGTCCCCTTGTGTACTACTGTATCATACTCGGCCATAGTGTTTGTCAGTAGCTGAAGCATTTTAATATCATCAATAGGGGTACTCAATCTATAGCACCTCCAACCTATACCATTAAATCATTTTATTTTATCAATAATTAGGAGGCGTGGTTAGTATTACTGCCTCGCAGCTCTGGTGTCCCAGGATCAACCCAGACCCAGACCTGGGGTGCTATCTGGAGTTTGTATGTTCTCCCAGAGTTTGTGTGGATTTCCTTTCACAGTTCAAAGACATACTGGTAGGTTAACTGGCTACTGGGAAAACTGGGCCTGATGTGATGGTGGCGTGTTTGTGTACCCTGCGATGGATGGACGTCCCATTCAGGGTTTATCCACCCTTGTGACCGTTGCTTACTGAGCTAGGCTCTGGCTCCCACCATGACTCTGAACTGCATAGTTAAAGTAGTTCGAAAATAATTAATGAATGATTACAAGGTTTAGTATATCAGTTAAAAAGATATTTGATAAAATTAAAAAAGAGGGATTGAAGTAACCAGATTGGAGATGTCAGAGGTTCGGTATACCCATTTTAAACTAAAAACACATAATTAAGGCATCTACAGAATGTTACATGAGCTCTTCATGCGATGTAGTGTATGTATGCCAAAAAATGAATACCTCCTATCACAGTTGGAAGAAGCCATTTTAATGCTTAAATCATCTTAATTTCAGTTTAGCACATGTTAATTTTAAAAATGATAAGGGAGATTCAGGTAAAGAATGACACAAATTAATGACACTTAGTACTGAAAGTTATTAAGGCTCTTGACTTTAATACACCTCTACTAGGTAGATTCTAAGTTATTTGTAATCCACTAATAAAGATTTGCACAAGTATTTATATTTTTATTGTACACATCACAAGATCATTTTTATGTGATTCTAGTTTCTAGAATGCTTTATAATTTGCTTATTTCGTTACATATAAAAAATAATGCTTGTTTTTATTTTGTAGGTCAGAGTACAAATTAAATGAAAGTAAAAAGGAAAAATTGGCTCAAAAATGAAATGTAATAATGTATATTCTTGTGTGTGTAACCTTATAGTTATATTTATTCAGTTTTGCTGAGTATAATTTTTCACTTTATAAACAATTATTTTTGTTTCTTATTGTGATTGCTTTCTGTACCAGTATTCCATTTGATTGCTTAAAGACAATTTGCTTATTAGCAATTTGATACAAATCTGCCTTGTGCCTTTCAAAAATGTATCCTTGTTTGCTCTAAAGACCTTCTTTGTTTTCTGCAGAGTAATCAATTGGTGCTGGCTTTGCACTGAGGCATGTTTTAGATGAGTGCCAGAAGAAGTATGTGGGTTTCAGAGAGAATTTTTATCCTGGTGTGCTTTTAACCCTTCCACCTATACACCAGAACAAGAGCCACATGAAGCCTGAGTCACCTTCTGTGATCTATAACTGTGCTGGAGATTATTTAACATGTGAGAATTGAAGTCAGAGTTGATAAAGTATAAATCAGCACATGCAAAAAAAGTTTTATGTGCTCAAAAATCATTAGGAAAATCAGCTGATAATCATCTTATTCTATTTTACAGATACTGTAGAACAGGTTTTGACCTAAGGCTTTGGGATATGACTTAAACTGTGAAGAGGATTAGGGTTTTCTTTTTAACATGCAATCAGTCAATAGTAGTAGATGTTTTTTATCACATTTTTGTCATTGTATCAATGCTTTACTGATGTGTCCCATTTCTGCAATTTTTACAAATGCTTTAAGCAACCCATATTTTAGGTCAATGTAAATTGTTAAAGCGTTTTCTTCATAGTCATGTTGTGATTTACTAATGTCTCAATTATGATTTAGCATGATAAGATTTAAAAAGGTCTTCCTTGGTTGAAATAGATCTAGTTAACTTTTTTCTCCTCCTCCAATGTTGTGGTCTTAGTAGTTATCACTTTTTGCAAGCTGTCAGTATATTCTTTTTGTGTGGATAGTAGTAAATAAACACTGGTTTTGTGAGATTTGTTCTAGGCCAGATAGGACATAATTTGACATACTTTGCAGAATTTAATTCTAAACATTTTCTCTATAAACTTTTGAAAGACAAAACTAACATACACAGAATTCTGCTTTTCACTTAATGTAACATAATCTATTGTGTAAAAGTGCTTCCTTTTCTAATATTTGTTAAGAGCTATCACAAAAGTAAACTGTGAAGACTTCTCTTACATTTAAAATGAAGAAAAATTTTGGTAACGATTTCTTGATGCACCACTGAGCCAGTATCCCAGTAATTGTTTCACTTTGGTGTCACCTCAGGTAAATGTCAAGGATTTGAATTCTATCAGCATTTTCAATGGAATGCAGACGTGGTTTTAAAGCTGAAGCAGTGACTGTAAATGGGTGTCTGAGAATGTGCATGCTTGTCTCTGTAAAGGTGCTTCAGTCCAGGAACAGCCTCGGTCGATTACATTAGTGGCACAGAAGTTTTGTAAACTGCCTCTGGAGCTGAAGGAATGTAAAATAATAAGAAACCTTTGGTTTCTGTAGAAGTGGTAAAATATTAACCTTAGGCTCATGACCACACAGAAAAAAGTCTTTGATCGGGAGAGTGAAGTATTTTATAGAGGGCATACACCTTGCATACATACAGTAAGCTCATTGTTATTGCTGTAGGATGGAGTGTACTATGTGAAGTGAATTTTTTTTTACCATGCGGACTCTTTATAGGTTGAAGTTAATGAGTTCCCCGAGCCTCAGCGACCTGGGCAAGTGTGAGAAGGCAGTATTGGATGAACGAAGCACACAGCAGAGACGAGCAGGCGCAAATGCCACTTGGAACAGGTAATGAATCTGTCATTTATCTTTTAATTAAGTTATCAGTTTCCATGATAGTGGCTCCTTAACTGACAAGAAGTACAAAGTACATGGTGTTTCACTGTGTCTTGTGAATTATGAATCTCAGGTGTGCTGTGAATGTCTAAGCAGTGGAATGCTGGACTAAAAGGGTTTATATTGAGGCTTTAAGTAGAAAAAAAAATAGATCAGGTGGGTAGCTGCGTCAGGATACGTAGGCTGTAAAGGAACAAGTAATAGGTTTATTCCATGCTGGAAAGAGAAGAAAGAAAACATAACGTTTCGGCCGTGGAGCTTTCTTCGGGTGTGAAGAATAAAAGAAACATCATAATCTGAAGACAATCCCCGAAGAATCCAAAAACACACCTGAAGAAGGCTCCACGGCCAAAATGTTGCGTTTTTCTTCCTCTCTTTTTAGCATGGAATAAACCTATTACTTATTCCATAGAAAAGAATATTTGAATTTAATTTACACTTGCATCCACAAGTTGAGATGTCATCATAGAATTAAACAGCTCATGAAAATAGCTTGCATAGCTACTTTTGGCAACATTTAGAATAAAGATGTGAAGGGACCTGCAAGTGAGCAGAGTGTATTTGTCAGTCATAACGACTTCAAGAGGTACAGAAAAGGATACTTGTATTTGTATGAAGCAGCCCTCTGAGGTGTTGAACTCTAAGGTGTTTTTTCCCTTAAGATCTAAAATTCACGTCAAAAAAGAAAGGTTGTGGGGGGTTGGGATATTTTAATTGGTAGTTTTGTTGAATTCACATTTCAGGATATCACACTTTATGACTATTCTGTTTTAATTTGGCAGATATATACAGATGTAGCCATTCAAAATGCGCGGGCGATACCGCATTATTTTCTGGTGCGCTGTACGCAGTCTACCGCGAGTTACCGGTAAATACCGCTACTTACCGTAAATTCTCCTATAATACCGCAAGCAAAATAATAGTATCCGGAATTTCCACAAGGTGGAGCTAATTAAGCTCAACCTGTCATGTTTGAGCTGTCGCCATCAAAGTCTTTAACGAAGATATTACTAATAGTATTAATAATTAATGACCTTGGACAAGCTGTAAGTGTAAACTCAAAAGTATTGCCCTGGTCCACATTCTTTTTTTCATTGACCGTCTTTGTAAAAGTAACACCACAGCATTTCGCAATCTCGCATTTGTTTCCAATCATGCAAAGTACAGTAATTTTTGAGAATCGATTCACCATGCCTTTCACATGCTCATAAAAGAGATTGATTTAGGAACATAAACATATTACCGTATGCAAACTGTACTGTATACAGTATGTATATGTATATTTAATGTCTTAACTGTGCCCGTTTAAGTATTGAATATTTATATGGAATTTTACCACTGAAGGGAAATCTTAGTGCCTGAGCATAAAAGGAAGTAGTTAGAAATTATGGAACGCTCTGTTAAAAGCAAGGGAGTTTTTATGTCCGTTGCAGTTTTTTTGCAATATGAATATAATTATATCGTTATTAATTTCTTTAGATACACGATTCCATATTATATTCCCTTTTAATCAAATTCTAAAAGTATGCTTGTTGACTCCGGTATCACGTTAGTTAAAGACTTCGATGCTTAAAATGTTTAGGGAGAAATGGAATACTGGTGTGTATGTTTTCTTTGAAGTACAGAGACCAGCCATATACTGTATGTTTAAGTTCCAAAATTAATATCGTTTATGGCCTTCACACGCGTTGCAGTATGCTCCTATTCTTTTTATGCTCAGGTACTAAGATTTCCCTTCAGTGGTAAAATGCCATATAAATATTCAATACTACAACGGGCACAGTAAAGACGTTTACTGTAAATCTTTCTACGACAGACCAACGGACCACGAGTGCCCCTGTCGGTCAACCAATCACGTACCGCGGTACCGCGCGTCATCGTGCGTCACAATGCGCAATGCCGTAACCAATTACCTCCGGTACGTGTGTGTACCGCGCACATGGAATGGCTGCATCTGTATAAATATTTCTAAATAAAGGTTATAAGTAACAAAGAATAAAATGGTAAATGTCTGAAAATTCCAGCCTGGGCCTTAGCATGATAAACTTTATATTCAGTGTTCAATTAAGTTCATTATTGTCGATTTAATGAAGGCTACAAATGTAATGAAAAATTGTCAGGCTTGCGCTAATGCACAAAATTTTATTCCTTAACCTTTGGTAATATGGACTAATGTCTTACATCCGTAGTATATTAAAAATGCAACAAATATTGAATGTCTGTCATATTCAGAAAAAAAAGAGACTGTAAAGGTACTTGAATGTGAATATATTTTTATTTCATTACCTCTTTCTGAATGAAGTACGTGTTTCATTTAAAATAAACCCCATGATTAATAAAGTACTTTAAATGAAACTATATTATGTATCGGTCTGTTTTTGTATGGATGTTGACATAAATGTGAGTAGTCTTGAATTACTAGTGGTAATATAACTATTAACGTATCATATTCAGAGATAGTAAAGTTTTGTTTTGTTGTTGAATGGTCATTAATAATTTCTTATAATTTATTCAAACCTTTATATTCAGCTGCTAAACTTAAGTACCCCCACCTTCACCATCTGAATATGGTTAATTCACCTAGAATTTTTGCTTTCTGTTGCAAAGATAAATGGGTGGTCAGCAAACTTCAAAACTGTATAACTGTATCACTGGTGAAAACAGCTTGGTTTTCTGAAATATACATTTAAATAAATGAGTGAATACCATTTTTTGAATAAGGGTGCATATACTTTGGTATGCAATTCTACATACTGTAGTTTGAAAATTGTACTATGCCATATATCATCTACTGTAAAGTATATTAAAACATCTTCCCAGTTATCCACTATTTACTCTGTGAAAAAATATTTTTAAATGTTGTATTTCTTAAAACACTGCACTTATCCAAACAGGTTATACATATGACAGAAATGTAGTACTGTAGGCAGCTGTGTCAGCATGCATAGGCTGCAAAGGAACATATCCTTTGCTGAAGAGAGAAGATAAAAAACACAACGTGTTGGCTGTGGAGCCTTTTTCGGGTGTGTGACAGAAATGTATCCATCTTACATTACTCAATAATATATCAATCTATACATATATCAATATATCAACGTAAAGGCTAAACCTGGTATTAAATTTTCCCTATAAAATTCTTAGTCTTTCATTATATGATGCTTGCCCACTAGGTCAATTAAGATATAATGGATCAATTAGATTTTTTAAGTATTAGCTGGGGGATGGTGTCAGAGAGCCATAGTTGCAGTAATTGATTGCCATCATGTTATGCAGTGTGTTATTGTTCTATATCAGTGGTTCTCAAACTATGGTAGGCGGAGTGCCGCCAGGTGGTACGCCATATGACCCTGGAACTTTGTTGTGTGCACCGACGGGTTTTCATGTTTTCTATTTTAATATGTGTTGAATATGCAGCCTACATACTATGATACAGCCCGTGCTAATACTTGAGTGGACACAAGAGCTACTATGTAATTCTATACCATTCTCTAGGAATGCGTGCTACGAATGCAAGTGACCAATTGTTTTTAAAAAAAGTTATCTCCAGCAAATAGGGAGGTAGGAGAATGTGCGTGAGTTTGGAACAATGCCAATGTTGTAAGCACAGGAATGCATAGAAAAGCCTGCTACGAACACTGGCAATCTTGTGAGCACAGGAAAGCGTGATAGATAACAGAAAAATATTAAAGAACTGTTCTAGGTTGATTTGAGAAAAATCCACCAAGCATCTCTGTGTTTCGCTTCCATGCAAGTGAAATAAAAACATCTTTTAACTTCTGAAACGGACTCCTGAAACGGAAATGGGGAAAAATGAAGGCTTGCAGATTACTAAGGCAGGTAAGCCTCACACTATTTTTGAAGAACCTTATTTACCGTTGGCAAAAGAGCTGACACCTATTATGTGTGGAGAAAAAGCTGCTAAATAGCTCGACCTGCTGCCCCCTATGAAAGACACAGCCACTCATAGAATTATTGATATGGTGGACGATATCATAAGTACACTGACAGAGCGTGTTAAGATGAGCAGATGCTTTTCACAGCAATTAGATGAGTCTGTAGATGTCGTTGATTTGGCCAATTTGTTTGTTTACGTTAGATACGAGTTTGAGGGTACGTCCCATGAGGACTTTCTGTTCTATAAGACACTACCAACAGGAACTACAGGAGAGCACATATTTCAGCTTCTGAATTAATTTATTGAAGAGAATGGCATCGACTGGATAAAATGTGCCCGAGTTTGTACAGACGGTGCTGGAGCAATGACAAGTCGACACAGCGGTGTAGTTGCACGAATTCGAGAGGTTTCTCCAGAAATGAATGGACGCATTGCAACGTCCACCGCGAGGCCTTTGCCGTCAAGAAAATGCCTGAGAATTTAAAATCTGTTAGACTCTGTTGTGAATTGTATCAAGGCTCGAAATATGAATTCACATCTGCTTTGCTTGACTAAACAGGCTCACCCCTCTCACTGAAATGGTACTTTTTATTGTTTATTTTTAATTGTTGTTGTTCCTGTTTCTTTTTCTGTAAAGAGCTTTGAGAAGCCACCTTTAAAGGTGCTATATTAAATAAAGTTTATTATTAGAATATTTATTATATGTGTAAGTGAGTGTGTGTGTGCACGTGCTCTCATGTTGGTCATTGAGAATTTCTGGGGTTCCTATGAGAAGATGACTTGTAGGTGGAACTTGGATGCTTTGGTTTGATCAGATACGAGTCCAAAAAGTTTGAGAACTACTGTTCTAGATGGAACTCTTACCAATCACCATGTGATGATGCGTCTTTTTAGATGGCCATAGACAAAAACAAATGCTGCTTGAAAAAGTGCAGGTTGTAACGAGAGGGAAATGGAAATAAATGTATGTGGTTATCATGTGCTTTTATGGATTGTCTTCAGATTATTATTTAATAATATAATTCACTAGGTTTAATTGTGCAAATTAGTAGGTGATGCATAAAACCTTGGGCTCAGGGCTATTTTTCATTTTATCAAAAACAGGCATATTTTAATTGATCATAAGAACATAAAACATTGGATAACATAGGTGCATAAAAAATTAAAAGAGGGACATTCAATCTATATAAATACATCATATTATTGGTCCTAAATGCACTTCCTGTACCTTTCCTCTTGTGTTCTATTTCACTGTTTGTCTTAAAGTGAATCATCACATTAACTTTCTCGATACCACTGAGGATTTAGAATTCTTAAAGTCTGCATGTAGTCCCCTTTGTTCTAGAATAAAATAATTCAGTTAGGTATTGAATTATCAATCAATCATCCATTTTCTAACATCTTTATCAAATACAGGGTCACGGGGAGCTGGACCCTACTCCAGTAAGCAATGGGCACAAGGAAAGAAACACCCTGGATGAGTCACCAGGCTGTAATCATCATCAGGGCAGACAGATACAAATACACAACAGGGCCAGTTTTTCCAGAAGCTAATTAATCTACTAATATGTTTTTGTTCTTCTATAGTTTTTTTCTTTTACAATGAAGTTGTGTTCTCTAATAAAAGTAAACTAGCATTATTCAATTTAGTTCAGGTGGGTAGCTGCATCAGCATGCGTAGGCTGCAAAGGAACAAGTAATAGGTTTATTCCATGCTGAAAAAAAGAAGAAAGAGAACACAACGTTTCGGCCATGGAGCCGAAGAAGCTGAAGAAGGCTTCACAGCCGAAACGTTGTGTTCTCTCTTCTTTTTTTCAGCATGGAATAAACCTATTAATTATTCAGTTTAGCTTGCCTAAAACACCAAATTATTCAGCTCAATGAAAGCCTCGGATTTGTCTGTACATTGTTCAATAACAAAACTACTTCAGAAATAAGATCGTGCCACATATCTCTTCTAATGCTTTGGTCTTTTGGCTTTCTGTATTTAGTCCCATAGAAAATATATTATTGTTTAGAGTAAGCTGAGCAGGTGTTAAATGTTAATTTCATTATCCTAACCTTAGTAAAATAAAACTAACCGTTCTTATTTTGCATTCTAATAGAGGTACACTGAAAGAAGTTTAAATTTTGGGTAAGCAAATGATTTCCTTTCTGGAAAAAGAAAGTGATATTTTGTTGTTTTTTTTCAGCATTCACAATGCAGTGATCGCTGTGTTCCAGAAGAAGGGGCTTGCAGACAATGAACTTTATACCCTGAATGAGGGTGTGAGGTTAGTATGACTTTCACTTTAAAGGTGACTATTGTGACAAAGCTACAATGCTGTATCTCACTTACAAAAAATGCTGCATTAAACATTTGAAAACATCTCTGGGATATTGAACTTCGGTTTATTTTAAAGGCATTCATTCTGGGCAGAAAGAGATGAAAATGGTAAAATAGGTTCTGTATTTCTTTTATGTTTTCATTTGGTTCAATACAGTATTTTAGCAATAGAGTATTAATATAGTCATTTATTTCTAAGTTGTTCCAAAAACAATGACTTCAGACATCCTCAAGGAATAGAATTTAGAGGCACTGTATTATGTACTTGTTTATGCATGTGCAATTGATCTCCTTATTATTTTTTAGTTTGATTTTTATCTAATAAAACAAACATACAGCACTCAGATCTATGGAAAATTAAATTTGCTCCAAAATGCCCACATCCACATGTGATGGCAAGTTGTATTAAACTGTTAGTAAATGTTTTGAACATTAAAGCATTTTAGCTTATCCTTGCATGTCAGTGATTTTATCTTAATTCTTCATCTCATATATTCTGTTCGATTTGGATAAAATGGCTGTACTTGCCATTCAAGTTGTTCATCCACATCCACAAAGACACATCTTCACAGCTATGTCCTCAGTACATCAGCAAGTGTGATTGCTGCTTGTAATGCAGTTTAGGCTCGTCCATTTTTTAGAAAGGTTAATGTTTTAGTTCATTTTTAAATATGAAAAGTTTACTTGTTCAGGCAAATTTCTGAGATGGTAATCCACGTAAATTTTCAAGCATAGACACACATCTCAAAGATAATAAAGTGAAAATTACAATACTAAATGTAGTATATGCCTTTTCTTATAAAGGTTTAATATATTGAAATTAAGTGTGAACAAACAGCATGAAATCTGTAATTTCAGCATCTCTTCTTTCTTCTTTTTCACCAGTATATTGCACTGTACTTATGTTTACAATGACTGCTGTCTTGAACTTTCCTGAACAGTGTCTTTTAAGCAGTTTTTTGTGCATCTAATGGAAAAAATACAACCACAGTACAGAAGGAGGGGAAGTGGGACAGAGCTACCCAGGGTAGTAGAACTGCTGCACAGTGTGCAAAGACTGGAGGGGCTGTGCCACAGACACATGTACAGTAGCATAACAATGGAGTATTGTCAAAGGTGTGGGCTGTAAAAAAGAAAAATCTCTTAATTTAAATTGCAAGAAAGTTAACTTTCAGAGGCAAAAAAAACCTACTGTGTAGAATATATTTATCATTAAGTGGTTTAGGTTTCCTTACATACAAACAGATCCTAATACAGTTAATAAATCTAAATCAACAGAATTCAACATAATACTGGTAAATACCTTTTTGTCTTTTGTGTGATTGTGCTACTGGAAATCATTGGGTTTGTTTTGTTTAAATGTACATATTGTATGCAGACACAGTGTCTTGCAGAAGTAATCAGACCCTTTCTAAAGTGTCCCATTTTGTGAATTTACTAAATGATGCATACACATTTTTAACTTAATTGAAAACCTGAATGAAAAAAAAACTAAAGATGTTTCAGGGTAAGATAAGTTAAAATTAATTTAAACAAAGATGAAAGAGAAAAAATAAATTTGTTGAGTGCATAGGTATTCAGAACCATGAACTCTCTTAACAGCTTAAGAGGACAGCTGGAAACAGCTGTGGTTTATTATTTCCAAGTCTTTTTGATAACACTATACAAACTTTGCACAAAACTTTTGCAAATATTTTTTTTTATTCCCCAACTTTTTATTAATAATAAGAATAATTGCTTACACTTATATAGCGCTTTTCTGGACACTCCACTCAAAGCGCTTTACAGGTAATTGGGACTCCCCTCCACCACTATGCAGCATCCACCTGGATGATGTGATGGCAGCCATAGTGCACCAGAACACTCACCACACATCCGCTATTAGGAGGAGAGCAGAGTAATGTAGCCAATTCATAGATGGGGATTATTAGGAGGCCATGATTGGTAAGGGCCAATGGGAAATTTGGCCAAGACACCGGGGTTACACTCTACTCTTTTCGAGAAACACCCTGGGATTTTTAATGACCACAGAGAGTCAGGACCTCGGTTTTACGTCTCATCCGAAGGACAGCACCTGTCCGTCACTATACTGGGGGATTAGGACCCACATGGACTGCAGGGTGAGCGCCCCCTGCTGGCCCAACTAACACCTCTTCCAGCAGCAACCTTAGTTTTTCCCAGGAGGTCTCCCATCCAGGTACTGACCAGGCTCATACCTGCTTAGCTTCAGTGGGTCGCCAGTTGTGAGTTGCAGGGTGATATGGCTGCTTCTTGGCAGATTTGTTGCTCAAGCTCTCTAATGGACAGCAGTTTTCACATTTTCCTACAAATTATCAGTACTATTGTTCACAGATTACTATATTTGCATGTACAGTACATGGACTGGGGAGGGATCTGTAACCTAATTTTGTAGGTTTAGGGTCGTGGGCAGGAGCTTGTTTCCTTCAGTATGCCCATTGTATTGCTTAAGTCTTAAATTAGCCATTGTAAATGGAGTAATTTCTCTTTTCTGGTCACTAACCACAGCAGCAGGTGTCCACATATCCAACTGAAAATGTCTATATTTAAGTCAGTAAACTTTCCTTTTGAGTGTTGCAGCCTTGCCAGCTTTGAAATATAAGTTTCATTGGAACACTTTCAGTTGTTCTACAAAATAACAATTTGTTTTCTTAATCACAGAAATCAAAAATAGTTTTAGTATTATAGCTTTAATTATAGATTGAAATACCCGGATCCAAACTCTAAATTAAGTCTTTTGTTTTCCCATTGCTTACTCGTATGTTGGTTCACATCAGTCAGATGAATTAATTGATTTTTTTCAGAATTGCACAGTGTAAATGCAAATTAAGAACATATTTTCTTTTCATTGTATTTGAAAACATGAGGGCTGTCCAGAATGCTCTGCATTAAAATATTCTGAGGCAATTAGACCGTTTGCCAAAAAGAAAATGGCATCTGGCATCTAGAGTAGCTCATTTGTTTCAGACTATCACAAACTTTTTTTATAATGTAGTACCTCCTGATTCTTTAAGTACTGTAACATTTATGTTTCCTGCTTGTTGTTGAGAATTCTGAAATTATCATACTGGATCCTGTAACAATTTATGGTGAAACGTAGTTTAATGTCACACCATCAAAACTATATGGAAACCATAAGATATTATGCTAATATGCTCTAAAGCAAAATGTGTATTTCTGTATGTTTTAAAGAAAGCACTTCCGTGTAGTATTTCTTCCAGCTGGAAGTTGTAATTAATCAAAAGTTCTTCCTCAGTATTTAATAAATTAAGTAAATGCCCCCAAGATGTGACTTTTATAGCTGGTTTCATAGGTGATTGAAATCTTAGGTGCTGTAAATGAATAAAAGTAAAGATGTTAAGAGAAGAGGGGGCTTTACAGTAATCCAGCAATGTAGATTATGATATATTTAAGGCAATACTGTTACAGGTTCGGTAAGAGAAACCAAATCCAGTGAGTGAACCCACTTGCTGGAGCGAACAAAGCCAAGTCGAAATCCGAAAGCAAACTGTAATCGTAGGAACGAGCCGAGAGTCCAGGGGAAGCAAGATATCCGAAAGGGAACGAGTACCGATGCCGAAGCGTGATCCGAAGTCGTAGTCCGTAGAGCAATCCGAGAATCCAAAGGTAGCCAGTAATCCAAAACAAAGCGAAAGTACCAATCCAAGCCGAGATCCGAAAAGCCGAAGTCCAAAGGGAAAAACCGCAAACCGAAATCCAAGACGAACACAGGGTAGAAGTAGCGCAACCAGGAAGCTCGAAAGGGAAAACCAATACTGAGCAACAAGGTAGGGAAGGACAGGTGTTTAAGTAGGATGAGACGGGGATGTGGTGGTGAATGGGAAAACTGATAGGTGAACTGATGGATAGGGGCTACGCCTACTTCTGCCTCCTCTGTTGCCGAGAGGCAGGGATCGTAACATTACCCCCCCCTCTACGGGCGGCTCCTGACGCCTTAACGGGACGATCCGGGAAGTTAAGGTGGAAGTCTTGGATGAGGTTGGGGTCCAGAATATCCTTCTCCGAAACCCACGAGCGCTCCTCCGGACCGTAGCCTTCCCAATCGACGAGATATTTTAGGGATCCACGAGACCATCGGGAATCCAGGATTTTATTGACCGTGTAAGCAGGGAGTCCATCAATTACTCGAGGTGGTGGGGGTTTTTGTTGCGGTTTAGACAGGGTGGATCTGAGAAAGGGTTTAAGGAGGGATACATGGAAAGTAGGGTGGATCCGAAGGGTAGGAGGCAAGGCCAGTCTGTAAGTTACAGGGGTGATCTGGGCGAGGATACGAAAAGGACCAATATACCTGGGAGCAAGCTTGCCAGAAGGTTCCTTAAGAGAGAGGTTATGAGAAGATAACCAAACAAACTGACCACGTCGAAGTCTGGGCGGGATACGATGGCGCCGATCAGTCACCTTCTTCAGCTGAGCTGAGGTGCGAAGAAGGGTGGCTTTGGCCTTCCTCCAGAAGGTCTTCAGGTTAGAGATGTAGTCCTGAACCGAAGGTACCTCTGTGTTGAGATGGGAGTCAGGGATAAGAGGAGGCTGATAACCTAAAGCACACTTAAAGGGAGACATGCCAGTAGATGTGGTATACAAAGAACTCTGCCCATGGGAGCAAGGACACCCAATTATCATGGGTAGAGGAGATATAAGTCCGTAAATAGGTCAGCAGTTCCTGATTCATTCGTTCTGTCTGACCGTTGGCCTGAGGGTGATAAGCTGAGGTAAGTGAGACTGAGGCGCCCAGTGACTTACAGAAGGCCCTCCAAAACCGGGAGACAAACTGAGGACCCCTATCAGAAACAAACATGCAGTCGGAAGATATGCTGTACAAACAATTCTGCTAGTTCTCGAGCTGTAGGTAAAGATGGTAGGGGAATAAAATGAGCAGATCTGGAAAAACGGTCAACCACCACCATAATA